CCTCACATATGAGGGCAATAGTTATCACAACATTAAATAACGTTTGTTTTAGCTTTCAGAAGTTGCTAAAAAATTGCCGTGTAGTCATTACTTCAAAGAGATTTGGAAAGACAAAAAAGATTCAACCGTGAGAAATTATCATATGGGATGAGTTGGTTTGAGACACGAGAAGTCTTCAGGGTGCAATATTTTCTTAAAAGTAAGACTAAGTTGGTGGTGTACTAATATTACAAAGCTGGTCACCAGAACCGCATGCCTGAACTGAAAAACTCTCTCATATATAGGCACATTAGTGCATTTGTCCTGACTAGCAATGTGATTCAAGTGATTACATAACATCAGCAGATTGGCGTAAAATTTAATGTATGATAAAATGTTTCAAGCATTTTTCCAAATATGAAATGATTGGAGTTAAAACCCTCAAAATTAGTAAGTGCAACGTTTCAGAGACTTTTAATTCAAGATTTCTTTAGAGCGTTTGAATTTTCCAATTGATTTAAAATATTACCTGAGCTGGTTAGGAAGAGGGTTAAATTTGAATTTATCAATATTTTCTATTTTTCATACTTGGTAAGTAAAAGCGAATTCGAAACGTCGAACTTAGGTAAATTCATGTTTAGTAAAAGTATGCGATTCTCAAATATGCAACTTCAACCAGCTTACTCATCATCCCAATTTGTATGTTACAAAAAGGTTAGGGTGAAAAATTGATCTGGTACAAATATTTATTGGCATAAAAATACTTCGACATAACTATATATGCATACACACGTACGTAATAACAAACAGTGGTCACATAATGTATACATGTGCATGTACAAAGCCGACTTTATCTTTTTCGCGGTGCATTTTTTGCCGCATGGTTGACACTACCTGGGTAATGCAATATTCAAATATTCCTCCCTTCCGTGCCTTGATGGAGGCATATGCAAAAAGGGGCTGCAATTTTAAACTGCTTCCGGGAATTAGAGTTACACGTGGCTGTTATTGAACACTTGGTCGTTAGATTTTATTCTTTTTTGTGTACACTAAATTTTATCCAGAATTGATATAAACTCTTTTTTAATGAATTCTCTTGAGCGTGGTGGTGGAATTAAAAAAGGCATTAATAGAAAAATAGGAGCGCTCATATGGTGATATTATTATCGTATACATATGTATTTTATTCGTTCACTACGCAATCATAAATTAAAAATTTTAATTTGGAAACCTTTACATAGAGTACACACGCTATTTTTGCTCAGATTTGATTCTGTACCTAATGGTGGAGCCATTTAATATTTTACAACTCACACTATGAGGTTTAAGAACCGAAAATTATCATATTATATATTGGTAATAACATAATCTTGCTTATATTTTCGATATTAAGATATCATATATATAACATTTAAATATTTTATATCCTCCTGCGTGACTGGGAAAATTATTTCACAGTACATCTTTTTGCCAAGAACAACTCAACTTTGTAGAAATCTTTCAGGTGTTCGAAGACCCCAGAAGACTATGAAAACTGTTCAAACATAGTATGGCACCAACTTTAGTGATTTTGTTGTGGGGGAAAGATTTCTCACAGCTACGAAAACGTGTTTAAGAATTATTCCATAATACAATGCTTAATCGTCATTTTAAACGAATCTTTCTAGTATCAATAATATAAAACAAGTTTATTTATCGAAATATATTCAATATTGTAACTGCATTCACATCTTCTGTTCGACGAACACATAAACATTATAGACCTGAATAGGCATTTTCTGCCTGGTCCTCAATTTAAAATTTATTCGCTGTCAGACAATTTTTATTGAAAGATAAGGATCGATAAATTAACTCATTTTTACCGTTCGATGAAATAATTTCCATGGATTTTACTCACAAAGGTGAACATTCTGCTACTGGAGAGGTAAAGAGGCTAACAATTCCCTTTCCTTATCGTTGGGATAGAATCTGCTACCGCTAAATGTACCCATAATCTCATAGATCTCACAAGTAAGTGCACTCGTGAAGCCGCGAAGAATAACTGAACAAAAATGCGCAAACACCTCGAGTTGATTGTTCTGATCGTGTTAAATCATTTAATTTGATCAACATCTTGCATTAGTTGGTAATGGCACATACTGTGCGAAAGCCAGGATCAGCTATCCCTCCTCGTGCATTTACGATGGGAGCATCTAATTCAATTCGTGACATATGCATATTGAACTATTGTGCATTATTCTGTGTCATCCAAGGAAACCCCTTTACAGCCACTTGAAGGTAGAAATACACTTTCTGCAGCAAGCAAGCAGGAGATCACTAAAAGCGAGCCAGGGTTAATTCATTGCGCGATTCTAACCCCTTCTTTCACTTTTTCTGCAAACTCATTTCAGGTATATGTACCATCCGTTCGTACATACAGATGTATGCATGTGTGTATGCGTAAATCCAAATATAGATATATCCACATGTGTGCACATATTTTTATTTTTTTACTTTAACTCTGTGACGCTGCATGTAGGATCCCTACGTTTTTTTAATTGGTAAACAAAATGTACCTACCGTGAGAAGACATCGTCTTGCATGGCGTTATAGTTTATTGAATGTGTACTCTTAAGCGCAACCCTTTTGATAAATTTGAATTAATCCGGAAAAGTATGCGCTATCCCAAACCGAGCACGTATGACTAAAACAGACCTTCAGGTAAATATGTCAATGCCAAAAGATCATTTTTCACTTTTGTATTTTTCCCCCCGACATCACTAATATTTTCTTGTGTTGCATTCAAGCTTTGGCAGAT